GAGGGGGTGGAAAGATAGACTAATGATTCAGAAGGATCTTGACAGACTTGAGCATTGGATTCTGTCCAACAACTGCAGTTCAGTGTTGAGAAAAGTAAAGTTCTGCACCTAGGCAGGAAAAACCAAGCACAGTTACCGAATAGGACTACCTTGCTCAACAGTAGTGATTGTAAGAGGGATCTAGGTGTTCTAGTAGACTACCATTCAAGTATGAACTAGCAGTGTGCTGCACCTGCCCAAAAATCCAATGCAGTTCTAGGCTGTATCAATAGAGGGATAGCATTGCAATCACAAGAAGTGATAGTAGTGCTCTATATCATACAAATAAAATCACACCTGGAACACTGCATACAGTTCTGATTACCATGATACAAAAAAGATGATGAGGCCCTAGAAAGAGTGCAGAGAAGAGCAACAAATATGATAAGGTGTTTGCAGGCTTAATTGTATGAGGAATGTCAAAGGGAATCTTGATTACCCTAATGAGGAGAAGACTTAAGAGTGATATGATAGCCATCTTCGATAGCCAATATGTGAACAGCTATCATGGGGAAGAGGGGGCTGTCTAAGAAGCAATGGGTGGAAGCTTGATAGAGAGACACCTAACCTGGAACAATAGAGAAATTTCTTAACAGTGAGAACAATTAGTCAATGAAATAGCTTGCCCCCATAGTGGTGGATGCTCTATTGCTGGAGGTTCTTAAGAAAAAACTGGACAACTATTTATCTGGAATGGAATAAGGATTCCTTCCTTGGGCAGGGAGTTGTGTTAGAAACCCTTCAAGGTTCCTTCCAGCCCTATGATTCTATTTCTATTGTTAATCACTTTGGGCCCATTGAAGAACATGAAGTTTCTACATATCAGTATTTCCTAAACTGTTGGTTTCCCAATGTGTTGGACTATAACTCCATCTCCCATAGTATCATACCATATTGTTTGTAAATGATGGGCACATGGAGGGGGGGAAATACACTACGTTAAGAAATATTAATTTCTGGATGGGTGGTAGCAGCAACTAATATGTGAGACAAACTCATCAGACAAATGCTACAACATATGTATTTGAATTAAAAGTCAAGCTATAAATATATAATGATAACATTGGAATGGTGACGTAACCACATACATGTTAGCATTTTGGCATCATTGCTGCAGACACAACAGAACCCTGAGATATATCTCCAGTTTTTACTCCCATGTAACTTCCCGGGGTTTCACATCTTCAATATGAAGTTAAAGTGTTGTCCTGTTGGCTAGAATTTTTCATCAGCTACCATCCAACCTTTATTTCTCTTCCGCTGCACAAATGTGTTGGAGGTGTCAGAATTAGTTTACATGGAAAAGCTAAAAAGTGTTAATCCCTGTGGTAGATTTAGTTATTTTTATCAACTGGGTTTCTATACTGATGCATGGAGGATGTGTGTGTCATCTTCTCCCCCACAATGACAGCCAAGATCTGTCTTCCAGAATCACTAATGTAGCTTTCTGACTCTCACTCAAAGCCATGTGATTTCATAACTTAACTGGAGGTTGACAATAGTAATTATTCAGTCACTCATTATTATCACATAGCTTCAGCAGAGGCTGAAGCAGCTGAGCTATTCTAATACTCGAATTGCATAAGTTTTGCTTTTAGTTGATCTTGATATTTTATTCCATTTAGTGACCGTGGGTTTCACAACTGAAACCTAGCTTTAACTTTGCTCAGAATCTCTCCCTTACTAATCAGAACCGGAACGAAACCCTTCCTTTCCCTATATTTCTCCAAATACCTTTGCAAATATTTGGGAAGATTGTTAAGAGGTCTTTGCTTAAAGTACCACCCTGCAGAAGATGAGCACAGAACACGCTCATTATTTTCCAAGCCTGACACGGCATTGGTCCAGGCAGTCTATGAATTTCCACATTTACTGAGGTCATCTAAAGAGGTTCTATGAGATAATCTGAAGGTATCTAAAGACCCTGTCTGAGATATACAGAAACTATCACTCAGGCCAAAGCGGCTGAAACATTTTTTTAAGTCCAGAGAAATGACATAATATTTGGAAACGGATCAGGCAGATACTTTCTTAATTCACTAAACTATCAGGGGGAGGAGGAGGAGGAGGAGGTAGTATAGCATAATCAGATTTGTAAGATTCTGTTACTATTGTCGATTGCAATAAAAGTTGCTTTAGCCTTTTTGTGGAGTTGATTTCCTGGTGTGGTCTGACAGTAGCTGGTTTTCTACTTACTGCAACACCATACAGTAACAATCCATGAAAGTCAAAAATGGGTATCCTGTGTCTGTTTCTCTTCCTGAGTAAATTGGACTTTGCTAAAGAGACTTCAGGGGTCTTGAGCAAAGTTAATCAATAATTTCTCAAGAACCAGATCAAGTTTGCATTACTATACAATTTCATATACTATATACTATATACTATATAGTATATTAATTACATTACTATATAATTTTGCTGTATATAAGCTTGCATTTTAAAGCAAGAAGTCAGTTCTCCAGATATATAAAAAATTGCATTTAATATTTCCAAAAGTTCATTAAGCTAAATTGTTATACAATACATCATTGAATTGCAAAATGCCAAAGGATAATTGACCCTGTTGAAAAAAAAAGTACAAAATGGCATTGGGTAAGGAAGCATGACATATAATTTTGTGATTATGTTGCCAAGCATCTAGCTTGCATTATGCTACTATCCCATACTACAAATTATAAGCTTTGGGTGGATCTATTTGATTAATATTTTCCACAAATTGATTTAAAGCAGAAGTCACAATATAACACTATTTATTAGAATCACTGTGCACAGATTCAAACCAGAATGCTGAACTAAATTGTAGCAGAAACTGCTGGACATGCCAAGGGATTGTGCTAATATGTTGGTTCCGATTTGCTCTTAATTTTATCTCAATACCCAGCTGTGATATCTCTAACAATTAAAAACTGTAGTTGTTGGCAGCACATACAATGTTTGCACATAGAATGCTCAAAGCTCTATATCCAGTTAATTTAAGTTTTTTGCTAGAGACTCGGGTTCAAGTTTATCCTAAGCAAATTTTCTCTATTCCAGAAGGATGAGGACTGCAGGAATATTTTGAGGCAAATCAAGATATATTTAGTACAAATCTCTTACTGTTCTATTCTTGTAGACATTTGAGACATAGAATTTCAAGTGGGACAAGCTGTAAGCACTACTTGTGCCAGGAAGGGCAGGAGTAATGTCTGTATATAGTAGAGTAAATTTGCTTTCTTTTTATCACATCCCACTTCAATTTTTTGTAATGGAGAGAGAATTTAGTTACCTACTCTCCAGACTGGCGTGGTGGAAAAAAAAGACTCAGGGCTTTCTAAGAGGACAAACAATTGGATCCAAATCTGTCTTGTATTGCTCCTGACCAAGCCATGAATTATTCCATGGTCTTCTGCTGGTTTCTATTGCTAGGAACAGTAGAAATATACTCAGGACTAAAGTGGTAGGCAGAATAACCTCAACTGGACCATCTACCCCATCTGTTCTTTCCTGAAATGGCTGCTCATGGGAGTTAGGATTGCTTTGAATATTAAACTACAACTGAATGTTTTGGAGAGAAAGTAAGGATCAAAATGGGAGCTGGAAGTCTTTGGGAGTCAAAATTTTGTTCTTTCCACCTGGAGCACCCCCAAATAGCCTGATTTCATATTGTTAAAAACCCAGCCACGAAATTTCAATTATATTTCATTCTTTTCCGCCTTTGGCATAATCCTTTAATCCTAACCCCTATATGGAAATTATATCTTCCATTATCATTATAATTAGTTTTCATCCTGTGCTCCTATAGATTGTCTCATCTTTCTTGTTACCTTTTTCCATTGCCATTTAGCTGTGGGAGCAAAGAGAGAGGAAATTTGCTCTTTGCAAAGTTGCTCTTTCCCAGTGTTTTGAAATGGTTTTGCCTTACATTTGTCATAAAAGGGGTTTTAATAAAATATATCTGATCAAACACACACGGAGGGACTCAGCTGGTGTAAAGCTTCAATAAAACTAAAGAACTAATAGTATTTCTGACAGGAAATCATGAGTATTTGAGGAGGAACGCAAACCCAAACACAAATTCTGATAAGCAAGAAGCTTATCCTCAGCCAAAGGGATGACCTTACCTTTCCAATGACATCATTTCGGCTCAGCTTGTCCTTATCCATGACCGTAATGATTATGGTGGTCTCCCTCAGCTTCTCTGTGGGGATGTCGAACAGGAAGGATTCATTGAACACTGGGTTCAGGCATCGCTTCATCACCACTGTCTTCTTCTTTTCCACCCGCTTATCTTTGTACATCAGCCACACCTTCACATAGGGATCTGATGCAAAGAAAATGGACATGATAGCCAGGATTTAATGGAGGAAACAGGGTAAGTTATAGAAGGAACATGCCAGTATTTATCACCTTTACGGATACCTGCTAAAAATCGTTTGTTTCTTAAAGTATGATGCACTTAAATGAAATTTGAAAGTACAAGGTTCAGTTTTATTTATAGAATAAGGTCCAATTGTAAATTTAAATTCTACATAGAAAAAAAGTAGTTTCCAATACAGTGGAAATTTAAAATTGATAAACAAAGTTGATCAAGAGAGGGAAATGGACAAGACTATNTCTGACCCCAGACTGACTGATGGATATTCTATGTTCTCAAATGTGTAAGAGGAGATATTGAGGCTTGTTTCTGACAAATCAGCATAAGAGAAATTAAAGAATGAGAGAAGTAGGCAAAGAAAGCCCAGATTCTGTTTTTATTTACACTTAATAAGTATGTTATTTCACACAAGCAATTTAAAGGGTAAGGTTTTGTTTTTGTAGTGGTTTATTTTTAAGCAAATATTATATTTCACTTGCTTGAAGATCTTTTGTTTTTTTTTTTTTACATTTTTTACATAAATGTAGTCAGAAGCCCCATTTGTTATGATGCACAGGATTGCAGCTGGGTTATGTAAACCCAGTTTAAGATATGAACAGAGGATTACTTAGACTTGTTTTCTATAATTTATGCTGGCATTGTTAACTAAAGCATTAATTAGTCCATCTGCATATATGCTGAATATGCTGAATGCATTCCCACACAATCCAATACAAATGGTTCTTTCGCATATGCAAAATGATGGTTTTCATATGCTCCTACATTTCAAAACATAGTAACAGGAACACCTTTTTACATTTTTTTAAATTGTGTAAAATCTCTATTATATTATTGTAAAACTTGAATAATACATTATATTATTTCAATATGGTTTTGTTTGCTTAAACCGTTATTTTTTAAAAAAGAGAGAAGCATTATATCAATATTATGATATAAACTGTCAGTGTTAATGAGCATAAGATTATTTAGCTTTTTCATCTGAAACTGAATGCACTATTAAAAAGCTGTTCCTGATTGCATCACAGTATTTGTTGTAGAGTACAATAAAATTCTGTCTTGAGCTGATTACTTAGCATTAAGGTCTTTATTGTATTGTTATTTAATATTATCTCTGAATGTTGAAGGGGAAAAAGGTGCAAAAATGAACAAAACAAATTTGATAACAATTAAAATACAAAGGAAAAGAGCAAGAGAAAAAAAGACCATTTGGCCTCTAACTTCCCTCTTTTGTGCTTTTGCTAATTTACAATAATTTTAAGCATTTGGACCTCTTAAAAGCCAGACTATATGTGTTTATACTTGCCATTCTTAATTAAAATTGGTTAAACTTCTGATGTGAATATATGCTATTAATGTTGCCATTGTTGCATGTTTTCAACTTAATTTCCCAATCATATATTGTCAGAATTGTATCTTTCTTCCAGTATTAGACTAAATTTATTCCTGCTTGCTGTGAGTGTATATCTTATTAAAGTTTCTTATTTATTTACTGTATTTTTTTTTTTCTGGGATTATACCTATTGAAAAAAAATGAGTTTTATTTTACATTTAAATTCCATGACTTTCTGCATTGGGGTTTCCTAGAAGTCATGGAAGAGCATTTTGTTTGGTGATATGCATTATCTGGAATTCTTTACTGACAGGGAATTTTAGGTCTCATCAAAGAGCTTGCCATGTGGTGGAACTATGAAAAAAACCTTCTCAGCAGTGGTCTCTTCTTTATGGAAAATTATGATATGGTTGTTTCCTACCTTGTTGCTTTTCCAAAAGGCTCTAAAAACGTGGTCAAGTGGCTGTTTTAATTATGTTGTTGCTGTCATGGGAGGAGGGAATGGGATGGTTTTTTAAAAAGTTTGTTTATTGAAAGTGATAGTGGGAAGAGCACGGGTTGTTTATACAGGTGCTCTTCTGGAGTATTATCAGTAGCTGGACTGGAATGAAGAGAAAGCCTTGACTTGAAAGATTACAATGAACTTGCTTGGAATTTAACAAAAAAGCCTTGGA